AGAAGGACTTGAGAATAGAATCGCTTTGAGAGGGGCCGATCTGCCGTACCAGATAAGAACAACCCCCCACCTAGTGCCTCGTGTCCGCCAGGCTGCGTGTGCGCTGCGTGTGCACACACGTGTCCTCTGTACCTGGACAGGTCCTTGGACTTTGCCCTTGAGCCTGGTTCTGTTACTCTGTAGCCTTGTACTTCTAGCCACTCACTTTACCTCCACTTCCTCAGTTACAAAATAGGGATAACAACACCTGACCTATCTACTCCTTAGGCTGTCAAGAGAACCAACGTAAAAAGACGGCTGGAGTGTAAACAACACTGTTTAAAACCATCCACTGGGTAACTTGAATGAAAAGCAGAGGCTAGGACCAAAGAGAAAGCTGTTCACCCTTTCCAAATGAAGTGTTCATCATCCCGTGTCCCGGTGGCCCCTTCCTGAGTCTCTCCTCAGGTCGAGGTTTTGTACAGGGAAGATTGCGGGGAACAGAATTCCACGAATGTGTGTGTGACAGGAGCCCTATCACTTTCCATGCAGCCTCGGGCAGTTGCCTTAGCTCTCTGAGCCTTCACACTCCGCCCACACAACACAAATAAGTACAAAAATAAGGCTGATTTCAGAAAGGTTGTCCCAAGACCGAAGTGAAATGTTAGCCGTACTATTTCCGACCATGATGTCTAGTGCGCGGCAGGCCCTCATTAAATACAGAGATTTACTGAACTGGTACAGAAAATGACACGAGGACGGACACTGAAACGTGCTCTCTGGGCGAAGGAGGTACTTCGGCACTTTCATGTCAGCACTCCAGAGCCGACATTCGCTACAGGGCTGCTCTTCCTGCAGGATGGCAGCGACGGCAACCCGCACTCGCGCACCGGAGGCGTCCCACCACAGCATGGAGAGAGAACCAAACTGATGGTTTTACAAGTGATATCTATTACCCGAGGGAATGAGTTCAAACTCTTTATCTAAAGCAGGGACAACCACACGCTGCCCGGAAATCCTTTCAAGATTTTGGCAAAATTTCTTTAAGGTATGAAAAATCGTTCTGGCTCTAGAAGTAATGGGAAATCAAGGAAAGGGCAGTAAATGGACACCATTGATATCGGTCGCTGTGCTGGCACTCTATGTACATTCCTTCATTTATTTCTCGAAGCAACTCACACTGGAGACAGCCCTCTTGTTTCTCCCATGTTACAAACAGGGCTGGGGCTTCAGGAGCGAAGGGGATCACCCGGGAGCACAGCGTCCCAGGGGCAGATCCTGGGTTCAAGACTCGCCCGCCTCAGCACAAATTCTGCCAATCTCTCTACCAACTTCAATTCACAGAGACCGACAATAAATATCACAGAAAAGATACTCCAGGGAGACCCTCAACTGGAATTTGAGTTTCACTGGTCCGTGAACTACCATCTTACTGATTACGCAACTACATGCGCAACTTCTCCACAGAGCACCTGAGAGTCTGACAGAGTAGCCGCAGTCAGCTCACTCGGGGCTAACGGCATGCTGACACGGGCCAACCGGGTAGCGTCAAGGGATGAGAAACTCAGGCAGGCAGGTGAATTCCCACTTTCTTCCAAGTCACACAGGCTACTAAGTGCGGAAGCTTCGATTTTGGCTAAGCTCTTCGTCCCGAAGCAGGCCCACTAGACCATACTGTCCGCTCTTCGGGCTACGGTACCTGTTGCCCTGTACCTGCTCTAAGCAATGACCATCATCTGTGTGACAAACAACCCCCGGTTCTCCACAGCACACACGTCAGGCACTTGGTTATAATTCCAGGAGGCAGGGATTTTTGTCCTAGTTTCTTTTTAAGCAGATAGAGAAACTGAAGCTGAGAGAGTCGAGTCCTGTGAAGTGTCCACAGTAACGTGGCTACAAATGGCAGAGTCAAACCACAAACTCCGGTTTGACTCCAAAGTCTGCACACGTAGCCATCAGCCACTACCTGGAACTGCCTCTTGGTCTCAGCTCTTTCCCTCGCCCAAAGGAGTGATCCAGGTCCCCAGACTGCTTGTGTGTGTGTGGGATGGCTCAGAGCACCCGGCTCTCACAATGTCCTTCTGGAGACTCCAACACAACACCCATCTAATGTCACCTCCTAGCCTTAGTCCAACCAAGAGCCTCAAGACTTGGGTTCCCTCCCTCTTCTACCCATCATTAATTAGGGGACCTCAGGCAGGGGATGTTCAACTAACTTCTTTTCAAAATGGGGGAGACAACTGTGCATCTACCTAAAAGCAAGGGGAGGCCTAAGCATTCTGGGTAAGATTTCTTCTCAAGCAAGACTGGGACATTTTGTTTAAGGTGAATTTTCCGATCACAAATACAACCATACTGATAATACAAGATCAAAATATGAGCAGTGAGTCAAAAAAATTTCTCCTTTCCTGTAACGGAACTCAGTGGAAGTTAATAATAGCAGATTACAGAAAAGGGAAGCTGTCAAAAACATCCTAACAATTACTGCTATCTGCTAGGATTTAGTATCAATTCAAGAGTTCTCAAAAGACGCAGGTCATATTTAGATTATCTTTCTACTTCCAAGGACAGCAGAACTGATTTTCGCACAGAAGTGACTCCATTTATCAAAATGAATTATCTAACATGCCTTAGACACAAACACAAAACTTGGACCCTAATCAGCACTGTCTTCTTCCCCTCCCTCCAAAAATTAAAAAAAAAAAAACTAAAAAAACAACAACAAAAAAACCCCACAGTAAGCAGCAAGGAATGAAAACAACAAATTTACTTTGGGAGACATATAAAAGGACTGAAATAAACTTGAATTTTCAATGAAGACTGGCAAGCAAATAGTTATATTCTTAGGGGCAAAAATGTATGTAACCCTACCTCAATTTCATATTAACGGAAAAGACAGAATAAAATGAAATGGGCCTCTAAGGAGAAATTTAATTTAAACAAGGGGAGAGGTAGGACACTCGAGTCTAAAGATCTTAGTGAAGCATTAGATGGCGTCACACACAGAACAACTCTCAGCTTTTCATAAACCACCCTGTGAGTTTCACCAGACAAACTCCTTGCTCAGAAACACGTGTGTAAACTTCTGCCTGGGACTGTAAAGGCCGCGGAGCCCATGCAGGCTGTTCTCGGTGCCCCTTGTTCAGAATCCTAGGAGAGGAAGGAGCTCTGAACAGCTTCTTAGGTGATCTGGCTTCTGGTTCTGGCTGGGCCACCTTGTCACCCTGATCCTGTCACCACCTCTCTGGATCTCACTTTCCTCCTTATCCGTTAATGATGATCTCTCCTGACCTACGGTTGAAATTCTAGCAAAGTCTATTAACATCATGGTAAAATCGAGTGATGTAGTAAAATAACCTCCTTCCCATTTTTTTAATTTGCTGATTTCAACGTCCTACTGTGGTCCCCCATTTGAAGATTTCTCAAGTTGGCTTTCCCTTCAAAAGGAGGTGAGTGGCTTTCGCATATGGAACAGAGCTCGTGCTATAAAGCAAGCCAAAAAATCTTCTCCAAGAACAAACACCCTGGTTTCCTTAAAGCTGCGCCGCAGTCTTGTGACATCCTCACCAAGCATATAATAAAGCTGTTGTAATCACTGTATTTCCCCATTTGGATGGCAATCCTTAACCAACTCTGCTTCCCAGCAAAAACCCGGAGCTACAAGGTTACACTTAGAAGAAATGCTCTCGAAGGGCAGCACGGTTACATGCAGAGTTAACTGTTTCAACTTCTGGAACAGGCTTCTTACGAGAAAGCCCTGAGGCGAACAGCAGAGGGAATCCAATCACCGGCCAGATGGGAAGTAGGAAGGAATGGAACCGATCACTCCTGGAATACGGTCGCAGCAGAGCTCAAGTATCCGGAGCTCATCTGAGACGAAGAGCGCCCCTCCTACCGTCAGGGTATCCCAACACCCATCAGAGAGCCTCTGAAAAGAACCTTTTGTCTGACTTGACCAGAAAAGTTATCAGCCGGGCAGGTGAAGGAAATAACAGACCAAACACCGACCTGTTTAAGTAACAGTAGGTAGCCTTACACGCTGAAATCTCTTCTTGCCCCATCCAGACTCCCCACACTCCCCCAGACAGCTACAAATGACAAAAAATAAAGAGCAACTAAATTAAGTCTAACAGGAGCAAAAGACTGGGAATTTAGGACTATCCACTTAACTTATGAGGGTACCCTCGATTAGTGAAGAACGTAAATCCCACGGGGTTTATTCTCGGTCAGACTATGTGGCTGAAAAGATGTGGTGACCGTAAAATAATAAAAACTACGTATTAAACAAGAGAAACTACAGCTGATGTTTCTGCCTTTTATAGATATTCCCAGGAAAACAGTCGGCTGTTGTAATGTACTTCTTTCTCTATTTCTACAAGAAAAAAGGCCTCCTCCAATGTTTTGACTGACAACCTTCCTTCAAAAGACTGAAAAGTCAGAGCGTCCAGCCAGAGTGCAGACGCGCAGGACTCCCTACCGCCCGTCCCCAGGACAACTCGGTGGCTTTCTCCTGCTACTCATACGAAGAGACCACGGCTCTTGATTTTATTCACGGAAATTACATTCAGACCCAAACCCAGTGGTTCAGCATATTTTCTGCACGCAATGATAACATTCAGATATTTGTTTCTAATTAACTTAAGTCTTGAAGACGTAACTGAGAAAATGTATGGCAGAGAAAAATCTTCTCTTGTACCAAGTCGGGATAAGCTACATACGTGGTCTGGGAATGCTGCCCCCACAGCCGAGACCTCGTCTCAGGGTTCAGTGAAATATCAAGAGGCGAGAAGCAGGGAGGCAGGGAGAGAAGTTGGCAAGAGGACTTACGTTTGCGTCTCACAAATGAAGTGGTTAGCAGGAGCGAGCTTACCAGCCTCCGCAGAAGGCAAGGCACAGAGCTGAGGTTTTAGTTCCTGGCAAACTCACTTGGAGATGCCAAGTGGGCGGCGCTGCTATGAAGCAGGGGGTGGGGGGGTGGGGCTGGGCATGAGGGGAAGGAAATAGCGAGAAGGAGCACTTACTCAGTTAGAAGCCGGTGTAGCTTGTGATAACCCCGCTCTAAGGCCAGGCTCACAGGTGTCGCTCCTTCCTGGTTGTGGATGCTGAGAGCCCCTCGCCCACCTGGCTTCTGCAACAGGAACCACGTCAACCTCAGCAGCCCCAGCCGCACGGCAAAATGCATCAGCGTCTCCCGGGGACCACCATCTGAATGTGGGAGAGAAAATCAGTACGGAGAACGTGAAAAGGACAAGCAAACAAACACAAAAACAAGTTACGTGAGCACCGCCGCCTCCAAGTACCTAAGATCCTAGAGTTAAACCACAACATAAACAGGCTTGACGGTGGCGGGCTACGACCAGCTCTTGCATAAAGACGCAACAAAGCTGAACACAGTTTGAGAAGCAAAGTCTCCGAAGAGAACCATGACATTTCTATATCCTGATTTACCACATTTGTGCAATCCATTTATATGGGCGGATTTGTAAGAGTGAATTCACACATGTGTTCTTTTCCTTAATCAAGAAGGCGCGGCGGGGGGTGGGGGAATGCAGCCTCACAATGTGGGGACACACGGGGAATAGCTGTTGGGGCTTAGATGGGTGTATCGTAAAAGGTATAATTAAAGAAAAAATAACACCCAGACAGGAGCTGGCTAGGTAAACACTAAGAACAGGTTCTGCTTGTTAAGTACACACAGGTCCTTCTAGTCCCCCACATTAAGGGCAAATCAAATTGCCAGCACTGCCTACTTTTTTTTTGTTTTGTTTAATGAAAGAAAGAAATGCATCTCCAGGCATAATAAGCCTAATTTTAAGATAATATACTAGTAAGTTCAGTAAGAAAAACGTGCACTTGGGCTTATTTCACTTACGGGGAAGGCCCCTCTTTGGTACAGCGAGTCACGCTGAAAGTGGTGGAATGAGGAAGGGCTCGGGAGGCAGACAAATCCGGGTTCGGAAGTGGCCATTTACCATCTGAGACTGGGCCCGAACCATTCTTACCTCTCGGAGCTTCATTTCTGCACCCCTAGGTGGGGTACCTTCACCTCACACGCAGAACAGAGGCAGGCGGAGTGCGGGGATAAAGACGGGCTACAAGATCCACACTCAAAGCCAGGTTCCCTCCCTTTCCCGGCTCTCTCCTCTCAGACTTCAAATTCCGTTCCAGGTTCACCAACAACCTCTCTCTTCCTCAGGCCATCCCCTGTGCCCAACCTGGGACGGGGCAGCCACGGTTGCGGTACCAGGCCCTACAGGCTGGGCGGAACTCACCTCCAGGGGGCGCCACTCGGACACTGCAATGGGAATGACGCCCAGGAGCGGTGCCTGCCTCCTCTCCTTCTCCGTGGCTACCACCGGTCTCAACTTCTTCCCCAGGCATTCCCAGACTTCTTGGACCCCACTGGTTTCTCCTTACACTCAAATCCTCCGTGCTGCTCATGTGACCAGCAGTGAAAAACGAATCCAGCTTTGAACCAGCGATTTTACAGCGAACTGCTTTCCAGTGTCGTGTGTCTTTCAGTCTAGTCTCCCTATCGCCAAGGTAAATTCTTAGATGCAAAAGCGATCTTTCGTATTTTACATTTTTCCTACAGAACTATGCACACTACTTCAAGAATTCACAGGGTGTTCAGCTGAGACACGTGGCTGGAAAGAGATCAACACCCCAGAAGAAACCCTGCATGGGCAGGTAGAAACCGTAATAATCAAGACCTCAGAGCAGGTGGCAGGGCCAGACAAAAGGGCAGAAAGAACCTTCACAGAAGATCAAATATCACCACCTGACTTGTGCCTTACAGTTGGTCACAAGCTCTCTGACGTCCTTATCAAAACCAAAAAGCTAATAAGGCTCCGACCAGGAACTATGTGACTTTTTAGAGACTGGTCAATTCCTGCCTCACTACGTGACACCTCCACACCCCCTTCAAAGCAGTTTTCTTTACAGCCTCACCACTTCCGACCCATAATTTGCTGGGTCAGCTCCGTATTTACAAGTTCCAACAACAAAGCCATGCACCTGCTCAAGCTGGCACCTTGGATCCAGCACCTGCGTCCTCCCCAGATCTGATTCTAAGGTCCTGAGCAGAAGGTGCCACATGCACTTGTAGGCTGACCACTTTATGCCATTAACAGACGACCAGAAGTGTCATGCGTGGTCCGGACCTGCGAAATGTCTGCTCTGGGCTATGTATTTTGTATTAACGCTTTTCCCACTCACAATAACCCCATGAGGTCTCACCATCCTCAGGCTGAGGCAAAGACAGGTTAATAACTTACCCACAACAAGAGCCATCAAGATTTGAAAATTCTTCTGTCAAGTCTAGAGACCATACCCTCTCCATTAACTCCACCCTCTTTTTGTAAAAAGCAATCAGGCAAGCGAGCTCATGTGGTTTACAAAGAACCTTTTCATGTTTTCCTCCAATAAGTAAAAATGTTTACCCAACTTATCCTTCATTACTGCTTTTATTTCTTTTGTCTCAGTTTAAACTCCAGCACGCCTACAATTTAGGACCAATTTCTGTTCTCTGGTCTCTATATTCCGTATTTCTTCCTCTCATGATCCTTTGTCTTTTCCCTCTATATTCTGTGAGTTACTCAACTTTGTCCTTCAGATCGCTAAGTGCATTTCCTGTGATGTCAACTGAGTCCTTTGTCCCCAGTTTGAATTTAATTACGTTATGGGATTCTGGATGTCCTTGCATCATTTCAAGCAACTCCCTTTCCTTCTTTGCCCTCACTGTGATGACTTCTCTGCAGATGCAATTAAAGCCCCTAATCAGTTGATTTAATAAGGAAGATTATCCCAGATAATCTGGGTGGGTCTAACTAAATCAGCTGGAAGGCTTTAAAAGCAGGGCTGAGGTTTCCTCTGGAGGCCGGCCTGAGCCTGTGCTCTTGGAACTCCAGCCTGCTCCGGATCTCCCCTTCCTGACTCACTGAGGATGACAGTGTTGGCTCATTTCAGTGGGTCTGAGCTTGCCCATGGTCTTCTCCTCTACTCCTGCGCTGCGAATCTTGGACCTGCTTAGCCAGCCCCTACAATCGTGTAAGCCATGCGGTGCAAGAAGTCTTACCACACATCTCTCCGGCTCGTTCTGATGCTCTGGTTGAACCCTGACCGAGGAGCTTCTGGCATATTAAGTAGATACTCCCTCAACTTACTGTCCTCCTGGTTGCTTCCTTTTCTAATATCATAATAGGTCTTACTTCTTTGAGCTTTTAAAGGACAAATGGGAACGCTCTTCTAAATTTTTCTTTGGTTTCTTAAAGAAAATTATACCTGGGAGTCTTCCATCGGAATACTCTTGCTACTTCTGTTTCCTTTAGGCTGTAATTTATTTCACAGGCCACAGGTTGGTTCGCGGGCTTTCCCATTTAACCATACTCAACTGGAAAAATCTCTACGGACGCCCGGCTTCCACTCACAGAGAAGGGAGCAGAAAATTCCTTAAGTCTCACTTGCTATCCACCTGTATACTGGAAGCACCTCCCACACCCATTCCCTCCGACCTGCAGAGAAAGCTGACGTGCCTAGCAGACATTCATGGTAAGTACGCTGCGGCATACGTCTACAAAATCAGATTTTCTGATGAAGCAAAACGTTCTAAATTCTGCGAACAGTATAGCAATCAAAGACTACATGTTTTTCCTTCCCCACCAATCCACCTAAATGCCCTGCTCCCAGTACTCTCTGAATTCATACCTATGTGACTCCAAAATCACCATTCTCTCCGCTGTTCTGAACCGCCTCTTGGATAAACCCGCAGCCCCGCACGAGGCAGGAATTCTCGCACTCCACGGGGAAGGAAAACGGTGGGCCGGTGTGAGCAATGGGCTTGTCGAAAAGGACCCCTGTAGCCCTGCCACACAATCAAGGTTTGAGCGGCAACAAAACCTTTTGGAGCTGAAGTCCTGCCATGACCAGGAAGTGCTTGTCCTGGAAGTCAACAGATATTAACCCTCTGCCAAGAAAAAAAAATCCCCAGTGATCTTTTTATATTTTATTATTTTTTAGCAACAATGACAACGAAAAAGGATACAAATATTAGAGAGTATAGCTAAGGAAAAGTCCCACGGAAGGGGTGTGGGAACTAAAACACCAAACAATTAGGTTGAGGTTCTAGTAACCAACGTCAGATACACAGAACTGAGACCGCCCTGGCTGGTTTAGGTGCAGTCTTTTTTAAACTTGTCTAATCCTTCTCTCCACCCAAATTTCTCCTTGTGGGGAGGATTCCTACCCCAAAAGATGATAAGATCTTTTCTTTCAGTCATATAATACCGTGACTGAGAACGAAGATCTCCCCCAGGGTGTTTCTCCTCCACCCTTTGTTCAGAGCTAGTCTGCAGCCAGCCGGCCCCTGCTACCCTGCAGGGTCTTTCAGGTGAAAATCATCTCCATTCACCCGACCTTCAACCTTCAACCTTCAACCTTCAACCTTCGTGAGCCAAGGAGGGACTGAGCAGCAGGGCCGAGGAAGTGAGACTTGGTCACTCACAGGGAAGATCTCCCCGAGCCATCATTCACCCTCCACCCAGATGCAACCTTATTGCTGATGTTTAGAGCAGAACTAAGGCCAAAAGGACAGCAGAGAAGCTCCTTTATGTAACCGCGGATGGAAGAACTAGACGGACAAACTCCCTCCCTCCCGTTCGTGGTTTAAAGCGAAGAGTTAGAGATCAGTAAAAGCAAAAGCAAAACAGCCTCGTTCTGCCCCAAGGAACTGTTTCTCCTGTGCTGTCCTGTGGCAGCCTTCTACAGGACAGGTTAAGTCCCTTACAGAGCTCATCGATGTTCTGCCTCTAACAGGTTACTGGACGGTGGTCAAGGTATATTCAAAACGCTTATCCACCAGTCCACACTCTCCCAGTAGGTCTTCCTCCATTTGACAGATAAAGAAACAGGGAACCAGAGGTGAAGTACTTTGCACAAACTCTTGCAACGAAGCAAGGCTATAGACAAGTAGAGCCTACTGCCCACACGACAGTGTCACCTCGAAACCAAGAGTTCTCAGCGTCAGGTTCATGCCTGCTGCGCAGGGAGACCAAGAAGCCCTACATAACATGTCCGTGTTCTCTGGGTAGGCAGCCGGACGCACTTCTTCCTGAGGAGAGATCTAAGCTATTTTCAAAGGAGTCACTGACCTGGAAACAGTTAAAAAGCACTGCATCTAAACACACAGTGGGAGGGGTAACCACAAATCTCGTATGACCCCTTTGTGCAAATATCAGGTTGGAACAACTGTCAACATCCTAACCTTCAACAGCAAGGAGTCCCATTATGTAACAGGGCGCCCTGTGTACCTGCCTCTTTACCCCAGGTGATAACCCTGCTTCGTGCCTGCTTCCTTTTTTTTTTTTTTTTAAGACTTTATTTATTTATTTGACAGACAGAGATCACAAGTAGGCAGAGAGGCAGGCAGAGTGGGGGGTGGGGGGAGCAGGCTCCCCGCTGAGCAGAGAGCCCGATGTGGGGCTCGATCCCAGGACCCTGAGATCATGACCTGAGCTGAAGGCAGTGGCTTAACCCACTGAGCCACCCAGGCGCCTCTCGAACCTGCTTCCTTTAACAATCCTGGCAACGCACTGAGGTGAGCAGAATGCTTCTTTACATTTGTTCCTCAGCAGCACGCACCTCGTGACCGGTGCCCCACTGCCTTTCAGGCATCCGGTGGCGCAGGCTCTAGCCCACCAGGAAGGGAACAACTCAGCTGCAGAATGCGGATCTGGCACTGGCTTCAGGCTCTTGATCCCCGTTGCTGACTTCAAGGTAGGTCTATCATGGCCCATGCATGCATTTCACCTTCCAACGTAAATACACCTAACTTGTCCAGTTTTTTTTGTTCTTTTAATTATTTGTAACTTATTTAAGATGAAACTCACTTGTGGGGGCATACAGTCCTGTGAGTCTGAACGCATGCACAGATTGTTCTAACCACCACCACCAAGACATAAAGCCGTTCCAACAGCCAAAAAGCTCCCTCGTGGCAGCCCCCTGCGGTGAGACCTCAGCCCCACTCCTAGTCCCGGGCAACTACTCATCTGTTGTCTGTTGCCATAATTTTGCCCTTTTTAGACTACCACACAAGTAGAATCACACACTACGTAACCTTTGGAAATGGACTTTACCCAGCAAAATGCATCCAGGCTGCTGCATTTGGACCCCCAACAATTTGTCCCCTTTATTATTTTTCAATGTTATACCCCCCTTTTTCATGATGAGTGGTGTCCTCCCGTATGGACATATCATTACTGGCTTACATATTCACCCAATGACCAAGATCTGGGTTGTCTACAGTTTTGAATGATTATAAATAACGCTGGTGTAGGCATATCTGTGCAAAGATTTTCCAAGTAAAAAGAAGTTTTCATTTCTCTAGAATAAACAGCCAAATGTGGAACTGCCGGGTCATATAGTAAATGTACACTTAACCTTGTAAGAAACTGCCGAACTGTCTTCTGGGGCGCCTGTATCATTCTGCACTCCCATTAGCAATGTAGCAGGCACTGTTCTGCAGCCTTGCTAGCCCCTGGTATTTTTTATTTTACCCATTCTAACAGGTGGGTAACGGTACCTCACTGTGGTCTTTAACACACTTCCCTAACTATTCAAACTTGATTCAGCTTTTGCTAGTACCGCTTGAGCAATTTTGTGCAACAGAAACCGAAGCAGCACGTGGCAAGTCCACAGAAAGCTGGCAAAGCTGGCCAGTTCCCTATGAAAGGCAGGGAGGCTAAGGCCCAGAGAGGGGAAGTGACAGACCCAAAGTTTCAGACCTGTGCTCTTTCTAACAGCTCTTTTTAATCCTGGTAACATGAACAAATGATCCCACTCCTGTGCCTTCTTTCAAGACAAAAACAAAACCATAAAAACACCATAAGCCCCGTAAATGACGGAGGTGACCCTGCCTTGACACAGACGTGTACACAGCAACCAGAGTTCCCGCTGCCACAGCAATACAGAACAGGAGGGGCTTGTGGCATAAAGCCTCAACGGGAGGTTTCTGAAAAGGTGCCCTTGTCCTCAATGATGGCAAATACTTTGATCTTTAGATCTTAGCAGTGGAGGGGTTCCTTGGTCTACATTAATTAGACAGAGAAAAGGAAAAATGTGTCCTTCCTTGATGGGACCTTAGAGTCCACGTTTCCCTTTTTATTTCACTGAGGCAGGCAGCTTGCCGCAGCCCCGATGCTCAGGGACACCACTGCCGCCCCGGCCACAGCATGTCAGAGGACCAAAGCTGGCAAATACCTCTGTAGCCTTCTTCCATGGGAGGAAGTCTGTGAGAGCAGCCACTGAGCATGCCCCTGACCCAGTCCCCTCTGGGTGTTTCTGCTCAGGATCTGCTCTCGGGCAGAGAGGGAGACTTCTGGCTTGCTCTCCCTACGGAGTACGATGATCAGAGCCGGGTGGCCACCGAAGGGCAGTCCCATGACTGTCGAGCTCTTTCAGGGATAAAGCAGGAAGAGGAGCAAACCCTTCCGGCAGATGCAGCATCAGCAGCCCAACGAGCTGTCATCAGTAGCAAAGCAAACCTTCTGACCTCCATCTGCATAACTCCTAAACCTTTCCATTCTACTTGAACTCAGGAGGGAATGAGGGTGTTACTTATTAGACCCCAAGCGTATACTCTTTCATTTAAATACAGTCATAAAACCATGGCATCTAGTAGATACGCATCTGCTACATAAATGATTATGTAGGAAAACCCCTAAGAGGAACATATGGTTACTATGCCAGTGCTTTTTTTTTTTTTTTTTTTTTTAAGTGTAACCCTTCCTTCCGTGAACTCTCACATGGAAAGCCAGTAGATAAAATAAGTGAAGAGTGAAATTGCTCTGGTTAAAGAAGTGTGGGGTTTCGCAGAAGCCAGGCAGCTCTGGTGCCCCCCTCCCACCTCAATCCCCCATCTTTTCGTTCCTCTAATTCCGTGGAGTCTCTCAAAAACTTCAGAATACAATAATGAAAGCTCTTTGATTATGAAATACCAAAAGGATGACAAAAATTACTCTGTTACTGTCCTCATGAAGGACAGGTCACTTCCTGTGCTTGGGAGGACACACGAGAACTAGAGACCCGCAGCCAAGCGCTGCGTGCGCCGCCCTCTGCTGCAAACAGCAGCCGCACACAGCCACACCAAGCCCCTGCTTGGGGCATTTCACTGCAAGAACAGGTTTAACAGCTCCGAGAAGAGAAGGCATCAAGGCCACACTCTACTCCAGTAACCGCGAGATCTACCCAGCCACTGTGAAAGGCTTGAGGACAATGATCGTACAGAAGCAGCCCCATTGAGAAAGCAAAGTATTCTAAATTCGGTCTCTCTGTGGGTCATTAAGTGCTTACCCTGCAAACTCTGATCCGTCCCCAACACGTTCCACTCCGCCGGCAGCTTCAGGTGTCTGAATGCCAGGGCAACCTTCTCGTCAAGGGAATTCACATCCCCAGATGGGGGTCCTGATCGGTCAAGAAAACGAGTGAAGTTCAGGGCCTGCTGATTCCCAGCACTGGTCGCGAGGAACTGGGCTGCATCGTACGCCTCATCCTGGATGAACTGGAAGTCTTCTTCGGCCACCACAAACACGGGAAGGCCCTCCTTGGAAGCACAGAGCAGCACCTTCACGGTCTCACAGCAGTCGTGACCTAAACAAGACACAGAGAGCAAAGAAAACAGTGTTTGAGTCCTCCTGCCGGAAGAGCAGTCTCAGAGTCCTCTTGCTGGGAGGAGGACAGTCTCCGAGTCCTCTGCTGGGAGGAGGACAGTCTCAGAGTCCTCCCGCTGGGAAGAGGACAGTCCCTGAGTCCTCCCACTTGGGAGGAGGATAGTCTCCAAATCCTCCCACTAGGAGGAGGACAGTCTCAGAGTCCTCCTGCTGGGAAGAGGACAGTCCCTGAGTCCTCCCACTTGGGAGGAGGATAGTCTCTCCAAGTCCTCCCGCTAGGAGGAGGACAGTCTCAGAGTCCTCCCGCTGGGAGGAGGACACTAGTAGGTCCTCTTTGCTCTTCTTGCACAATACCCAAGTTCTCCTTCCTAAAAGAAAGTACTTCCTCTGCTCTGACAGCAATCCAAACTTCTTTACACTTATTTTCAGCTCTTTTTCTGAACTATTATTTGCAACAATGAATTAGTTCCCTTACTGCCAGTAAACAACTCTGTTCCCTAAATGTATCCCCTATAGCTAACGTCTGGCACCGAACAGTCTCTGAGATCCCAGGACATACTGAATTATGGCTGTTCAACTCGAACAGAGGAAAGAATGAAAGCTCAAGGATCTCGTCAGGCCTAGCAAGTCTGATACGACTGAACTGAGCTAGATCTGGAAACCCAAAAGGAAGAAAGCCACGCAGACTGGTTAATATAGGAGGATTTTTACAGATTCCCCAGCACTGCCCTATTATCACCACAGCGCAACTGATCAAATGATGAAACATCTTAAAAAGTACCAAACTACCTGATTTTATTTCACTGTTATTAGAAATTCAAGGCCTACAAGATGCACTCTGCTGTCAGATACATGTTCTTTCCTGTCATGTAATGATGTCAACAACATCGCCTGGTTCACAGGGATGACGCAATGCTGCGGCCAGAAGCCCTGTTCAGGGAGGGCAAGCATGCCGGAGATCAGTACCCACTGTACAGACGGGGCAGACCTCACGAGCTGCCACATACGTGCCGCCCCAGAGAGTTCCACTCGAGTAACATCCACACCGTTTCTGCGGGAAAGGCCTTCCTGGACAATCAGACTCTGCTGGATTTTTAGCCTCACAGCGTTAAGTATGTACAACATGCAGAATATCGTCATTGGAACACCCTCTTGACCCTCAACTTCCCAACACTGATCTCAACTGGCTAGAAGTATGCCCCTAACATCATCATTCTTCTTCCAAAAAACCTCTCTGGTGAGAAACGCAGAAAGGAAAATGGAGCCTGTCTTTCTGCTGCGTGAGTGATGCCACCTGGTGCTCTGGCCGATTCCCCGCAGGCCCCGGCCCGCCCCACTTCCCTGCAGCCCCTCACTCGCAGAGACTGCTTGTCCATAGTGGGGTGAGGCAGAGGAAGCCCTCTATAGGGCCACGGAGTTCACTTTCCATACTGTGGCCACAGGCCAGGAGAGGCTTCAGATGCGGACAGAACAGACGAAGCCTTCTGCTGCCTTTGAAAGAGAAAACTGTAATTGTTTTTCCCGTGTGAACAATGAGAATAATAAGTAAATTGATTTTCCGCATACGATTCTCCAGGGGCCTCTTTAAGCCCTTTACCCTGGTGACAAATCTCTCACTGTTGTGTAACCTTAGGGTGGTTACAAGTATTTACTGACCAAGTGACTACCACGTATCAGGCACCCGACATGTCATTTTCTCTGTACAAGAGATTTATGAGGTATGTACTATCCTCATGTTGCAGATGACAAAACTGAGACTTCGAGAAGTAAGGTCACAAAGATATTATAAGAAGCTGAATCCATTATTTAAATTCAAGTCTGATGCCTAAGGTCGTGGCCTAGTGTATCATGATGCAAGAGTTCTGTCCCTGCCTGCAAGGAGCCTAATACTCGAACGGCAGGCCAGTACGACGACTGAGCAACAAGAACAGATTCACTAACCACTGAGATCCGCTTTCACATGAACACGTCACTCCACCACGTACACGTCCTGCCTTCTGAGTTGAATTCTTTCTATGAAGGCTGTAGAAGAGGGAGCATCCCTGCCTGGTGCGTGTCTGTGCCCACACGTGCCTGACGCCCACGTGTGTACTTCAACTCAATGCATGTGCTGAATTTATACATTTAACATATGAAATGAAATTAGGGAAAAAAAACTTCTGATATTCCTTTGAAGGGAAGCCAGCCTAACTGTATAAAACAACAATGTCAATTAGAAACAAGTCAACAGATTCAGGTAGTAGTTTGGAGATTCTTCTGGCAAAAGTATTTCTTTTAAATTGCTCCATAATGGGGCACCTGGGTGGCTCAGTCAGTTAAGCATCTGCCTTTGGCTCAAGTTATGATCCCAGGGCCCTGGGATGGAGCCCCGCATCTCTCTCTCTCCCTCTGCACTCCCCACCCTCTGCTTGTGCATGCGCTCTCTCACTCTCTCGCAAATACATAAAATCTTTTTTTTTTAAAGGTTAAAAAAAAAACAACTGTTTTATAACATCCAACAGCTACATAGGCACCAAGCCCAGGGCACTGGGATTACAAGTGTGAAAGACTCAGCCCTCCGTTTCAGCCCTCCGGAGGTTTACAGTCTGTAAGGGGGAATCAAACAATTTGCAGAGAACTTCGAAGAAGTCAGAGTGGGATGGGCTCTAGAAGAAACACACAGTGCAACTGGTGGGAGAGACGCAGGACATTTCCCAGGTGAGTATGAGCGGGAAGATGTCACAAAGCAGGTGGCTGCTAAGAAGCCGCTTTCTGCAGGCACCCTGCTCCCAGCTCTGCAGCCCTCAGAACGCAGATGCACGGCACCTACCTCACCTAACACACACACACACACACACACACACACACACCATAACATGCGGTGTGCTGGCTCTACTCTCTGTGCTTTCCAAGTAGCCGTTCATGTACTCCTCATAGCAACTCTATGCGGCAGACCCTATTATTATACCATTCACCAGATGCAGAGACCAACACACAGAAGTACTAAGTCATTTGCCCACGGTGATGCAGCTCCTGGGTGCCAGAATCAGAACTTGAGCCCGCTTCCTTGCTCTAGAGGCTGCCCCTTCTCTCAAGATTTATGGGTACAAGAAGACTTGAAGAGGAAACAAGGGGACCGTGGAAGAATGGACAGGGAAGCAATAAACACACCATGCTCAAACCCTGGTTGGAAACTCTGACGCTGTGCGACCCCAGATCACCTCTGCTTCTGCGGGCCTCGACTTCCTCATTCACTGCATGAGGGAGCAGCCCCTACGAGCCTCAGCATTTCTCCAGAGGTCAAAGCCTGTGGGCGTCAGTAGGCAGAAGTTGGACAGGGAGAGAACGTTAACAAGATTCCAAGAATAGAGAACTGTTTGAAGAGCCCAAACATGGAAGCAGAAGGTAAGTTCAAGGGATGGAAATGACAGTTTCGGGAGGATATTAACTTGGTTACACCTGGATACTTAGTGACAGCAGAGACCTGGGTCCAAACCAATTTCCCTTACTTCTCAGCTACGTGGCCCGAGGTAAATGAGAACACCTCTCTGTTAAATCTAGACAGTCTGCAGGTCTTACACATGAAGAGCAGAATTAGAAGAGTCTTCTCAAATTCTTTAATAATATCACCAAAACAACATCACCTAGCCTCAATTCATTGCCTATGAAATCAGACAGACAGGTGTAACAATAGGTATTTCAGTTGGAAGAATTACTTTAAAGTAAGAATGGTTCACGAATCTAACTGACAATTACAGCACAGCATTACAAGCCTCAAGCCTGTGCAAAGGTGAGAAACCCAAACGCTTGAACCAGAAAGGGAGTCCCAATGCCACTAATGGCATCCATCACCCTATAAACACCTAAATACCATCCGCCTCCCTCTAAGAGCTCCTTCTATATAGACAGAGTTCATCCCATATTCCAGATCTTCAGTTTCATCTCTTTCTCTCTATCTCTCTCGCTCTCTCTCTCTCTCTCTCTCTCTCACACACACACACACACACACACACACACACACGGTGCACTGAGCGCAGAAAAGCCACTGTGAAGCAACACCATCTTATTCAAAACTGCCAAGTGTAGAAGCGTCTGCACAGAACTCCATCCAGCTAGGAAAGGGTGCAGACAGACAGAGGGGACACAGAAGGTGGTTCGCGCACACGCATGTGTGTTTATCGGCAGCCTACGCATGCCTGGCTCTTCCCGCTGCGTCAGCAGAAGTAATCGGTGAGCAGGCAGATGTGGACGGTGGTGGTGGTTGGGTGAACTACTGTCAGCTCTGTCTGTGTGTACATTTCTGTGTAAAATAAAACTATGTATCAGAGGAGGCGAATGTCAGGAAAGGCCAGGAAGCAGCAACCCAGGAGCAGCGATCCAACTGTCGGCCCCGTGTTCTTCCCTACGGACATGAACTCACAATCTGAAGGACAGACTATGATCAACCCAAGTAAAATGTACCATCAATCTGGAACGTGTTTGGTATGATTTTAGGCTCCTTTTTCAAAAGAAACACTGAGGAGTAAAAGAGGAGTGGGGGGGCTGAAGGTGTCCTGGACCAGCCTTTAATATTAAAAACTGAGAGTACATAGGGAGAGCGACTGCCGCCCTCAACCACAGCACTCGCCGCCGGCATCTGGAAACCAGCACCCGAGCCTGCAGGCACTACTCTCTCACACTGGGGTTTTCTATTATGCTCGACTGGGTCTCAAGACTATTTTTTAATTCCTATGACCTTTCAGATAAAGCATTTAGGGGGGAAAAACCCAACATGTTAAAAAACAAAGCTATGTAAAACGGACCCAGTAATAAAACCCGCTGCATAAAACGTCTTGTTGCCATAAACTCGCCCTAGAGACAGGACTCTCTCCAGGGGCCATCACACACAAAACGCAGGGTATTAAGGATGCCCACATCTATACCAAAAAGACACAGAAACCACATCCGATTTGCTAGCATCGCCACAGTCAACCTCTCTACACAAAAAGTGTAGCAGAAAGA